GTGCTGCTTGTGGTTGACTGCTGCTGGGCTTTCTGGATAAAAAGCAGAGGTGCTTTCCCTGGGAATTACCTGCAGTCCTCAGCTGAAACCATTCCTTTGGGACAGGGGTGATGCTGATGGGCTGAGCCACCAGGGATCAGTGTGCAGTGCTGTGTTGCATCCTCATGTCCTGCCTGCAGGAAAGACCCTTCCAGTGGGATATGCAGTGTGCCAGGGCTGTGTGAGACATCAGAATGCTGAAACATTCTGTGTTCATCAGAGGTTTTCAAGTGTGGCAGTGAAGGGGGCCACAGGGTACCTTTCACTTGGAATAATCCTTCTACAGAGCCCAAATCTGATTGATTTCAGCAGCAGCCACATTGATGGACAGGGCTGTATTAGCAGGTTTGAGTATCTGTACAGGTGTGGATGTGTTATACTGGAGCTTGATACTTACTGACAGATTCAGCAATCTACAATCTAAGATGGCACTTCCTTCCAAATCTTCTGTTGGTTATGGTATTGCTGTAGTATAATGTGGATTTCAGTGGAGTTCTAGAGGTCTCTGGCCCCATTTCCCTGTTTAAAGCAGGGCTCCCTCCCAAACCAGATAATTTTCATGCAGTCAGGCTGTGGAAATTTGCAAGACTGGAGATGCTACAGCCTCTCTGGGCTCATTTTGATGCTGTACTTGTTTATTCCTGCATGCTCAGACTCAGCAAAGCATTCTGGAGAGAGGATGGCTTAGTGAGGCACATTGCTGTGTATAACTTTTTTCAGGGAAGTTTTCTGTAGCAAGCAACTCCTCTTTGCAGTGCTTGTGCTTCCCTGGTGTAGGCAAAGGAGGCTGGAGACAATGTGCAGAGATGGTGCCAGGTGTTCACTGGCTGGAACTCTTTGGAGAAGGTGCCATGGCTCCCTGCATCCAGGTTGGCATTTGGCTCTGAGTCAGACCGAGTATGTGCAAAAATAACACAGAGCAAAAAAAGCTGCTGATGAAAGTTTGTCCCAAAGACGCTGATGCGCTGTTTGCTGGGATCTGCATCAAGGAAATTCGTTTGGTTGCCTCTGTGATTTGCTTGTGGCCGGTGGGTCTTTAGTCAGGTTGTGAGGTCACTAGATTGTGCTGGCTATGTGGTTTTTCTTAACAAAGTTAGACCAAGAAGGTAGGAATCATTTGGGGCCTTTGTCTAGTCACTGGTGAGCTCTTCCCCATAATGTAGTCTTGTTACGGGAAAGGCATCTGCCAAGCTTCATATTAAATGCCACGCAATCCACCAGGGATGCCAGCCCAAAAGCTCCATGGGTGCTGTGCCTGATACCTGTGCCAGGAGTTCACTGCCTCAATTGATTACAGTTTTTAATATGTCTGTGTATATCTGGCAAGTTAAATACTCCCATGCTTTAGACAGGTGAAGGTCTGGGAAACACCCTGCTGCATAAGCACACCACAGTATCAACTTGGGAGAGTTCTCTTGGGTCCAGAGTGCTGTGTTCTGTGATCTCTCTGGAATGCAGAAATGACTGTTCATTTTCTAATGGCTCACATGTGGGAAGCAGTTGTAGGGAGCATCAGAGAGGTTTGGAAAAGTGAGGGAAGGTAAGCAGAATAAACCTCTTCAATCCACCAGTTTTCCTGCTAACTCCCAGCTCTCCTGTGTGATGGCACTTGGATTTGTGTTTGCATGGGAGGCAGCGAGGCTGTGCCCCCAACACCCACACACCTGGGCTTGCAGCCCAACAGGGTTTCACCTCCTGCCACAGCTGGTATGAAGGCTGTGATGTTGTACTGATGTCCTTCCAAATGGAAGTAATTCTGCTGTTTTCTGCTATTTGTGAGCACCCTCTGGAAGGTAACTGAGAAGTGGTTTGTATTGGCCCCTTAGTGGCTTTACTGGATCTGCAGAGGCTGTTGGCTCGCTTTATATGGATTTCTAGCTTATCACTTATCAACTGCCTCTAATTACAAGAGATAAAATAACACCCCTGCCTTTAAAGCACTTAAGCTTCCAGTTGAGTGTTCAGGGCATGTGCTCTTTTAAGCCTGTGGCTGAATTAGTGGCATCACTTGGCACTGCTTCAAGGCAGTGTGATGCTGGTGCTGAGACTGCCCAGCCTTGCTCCAGCCTTTGCTGAGAGGTGCAGCCTCCCAGCTGCCCCAGAAGTGCTTCTGGGATTTGGCAGCAATGCCTGTGCAGCCTGATGGGGAAGGAAAGAGGCACAAAATAGGAGGTGAAGTGTGTTGGGCACATTTGGTTGACCTGCAGGTCTGTTCTCCTCTGCTCCCTTGCGGTGCCAGCTTTCTGCACCCGGTGTTTGCTGCTGTGCTGCAGAAGCTAAGTTTAATATGAAAACAGTTAAATTGTGTCTCAGACTGACTGCCTCCTTGATAACATCCCCAACAGTGGCACAGACACGTATCAATAGCCAGTGCTGTCTCACCTCTGGTGGGGGTGTCAGACTGAGGGTCTTGTTAGCTGAGGACTGGACTGTGCTGCAGCCTGCTGTGATCAGAGAGGATCTCCTTCTCCCTGGATGGGGAAAATGCTGGCATACAGCTTGGCTGAGGAGGAAGCAACTGACACTCTAGTAGAGACAAATCCGATGATTCATTTCCACAGCCCCCGGGAGCTTGCGTGTGAGCTGCGGATTGGGAATTTCTAGGAATTTCAAGGAGCATCATTTGTTCTGAAGGTATCCCATTCAGTACTGAGGAAGGAGGATAAAATGCTGCTGCTAGATGGCATTACAGGAATTGAACAAGCAAGGACTTTTAGAGGTTGTCGTAAGAAATAATCTGGACCCAAAAATGTAATAAATATGCCATGCATGTTGTTAAAAATCCCAAATGAAAGAGACTCTTAGTATGTCTTTCCTTGTGCCTCAGCACCCTAATTTCAAGGCTACCTGTAGTTTTTGTGTTTCTTCCCTTAGTTTTTATAGCATCTTGTCGTGGTTTTAAAAAACCTGTCATCTTTCTGACATTCACAATGCTCACTAATAAAAAATCATCAATACATTTAATTAACATATTGCCTTTCTATTTCTTTGCTATTTGTTTGAGATAATTAAATTATTAATAAAAAGAGACCAAGCACAGGTGTCTCCCACTTGATCACTTCATTGTCTCTGGCTCCTCTTATCATTTTTCAATTTCGAGCTCAGATAGGTTTGGAGCCTATTTTACAGCTGATGTTGTGCATGTTGCCCAAGGGTTCTTGATCTAGGGTCTAGGGTGCTGTTGGAAAACACTCCAAAAGGGTTTAGGTTCCTGACATGGCAGGTAGGATCTAATTTTTGGTCCTAAGAGTCTGCCATCCTAAAAGCAAGAAGCTTTTGGCAGTGCTTTTCTGCTGTGCTCATGGTCCAAGGCTGAGATGAGTCAGGTTAAGGGACAATCCTTACTCCAGCCCTGTGATGCTGAGCTTTGTTGCATGTGTCAGACCCTGTGAAGTGTGGGCGGGTGTTTTTGGGGGTGGGAATGACCCACCTTTGCAGCCCCCATGAGGTGGTGAAGGCTGTTCCACATCTTCTAAAGCAGAGCATAGTGAGTCTCACTTTGTCACTTTGATGAGCACCTCTCCATTAGCAGTAAGATAATTCCAGATTATCACATCAAATGGCTATTGCTCACTAACCCCCCTCAGCGTGGTGTTGAGGAATTAATTACCAGTGTTCATGATGTTCACTACTGCAGTCCCTAAACACCCCACGTAGCACATCGTGATTGTAGCTCCAGTGATATTTATCACTGAATTTTCCAAGTGGTCCCTCTCCTGCTTTTTATCACTAGTGGTATTTACCAGGCATCATTCTGCTCTAGTTGTTTGAATCTCTGCAGTTTTTTATACTTTATTCAAAGCCATTTAGACACTTAGAGACATTAATTTTATCATTCTCTTCCATTCTAATGGGCTCATTTCTTCCATTGGCATGCAAATGAGAAAAAAAAGACTCTTCTCTAGACTTTTTGGTCACTAATAAATACCTGTCCTAATTCTTACTGCATAACTTATGCTTTAAGTTTGAAGTTGCAATATATACACATTTTTTGCTTCCTTCTGTCAAAATTAATTCTTATCCTCAAACATGAAGTAACCCCATGGTAAAGCAGCCCCAGCTACATTGCAATCCCTGCAGCTTTTCAGCATGAGTGTTGTCTGCATCTTAGAATGTTAGGCTGGCATTCTGATACATGACTTATGTGCCTGCTGTGACTTTGTCTGCATTTTAAGCTGAAGTGGTGGGTTTTTAGCTATGTCTGGTTTTAAACTGACAGGTAAATTGGAAAAATAATGGTATGTTATCTTACAAGGCTGGAATAAACCCTTGTAAACTTTCTGTTGGTGTCATTGTGACAGAATTCGAATTGTCTTGTAAGTTATACCAGCTGTATGCTAAACAGAAAGTGTTTTGAGCAGCAAAGAGACAGCAGAGAAAGTCCTTGCTAGGATAAGGAGAATAGGTTTGCTGTCAAAGGATTTCAACATTAAATTCTTTCACTGCTGGTTTTGACTGATGTTTTGTGTGTGAGAAGCCAGAATAAATGAGCAAGGACAAAAAATCAAAAACAAAAATCCAAGAACGAACAGCTAGCTTGCACGGCTTTCCATTTGGTATGAAACCTCAGCTTCTGAAAGGGAGGAGAGGCTGAGTGGAGAAAAGGTTGCACCAAAACAGATTCTTCCAAGCACTCACACAGCAGCTTGCTTTTAAATTAAGTATACCTGAAGTAGTAAAAGTCTTGTGTTCATTTTGTGGTGGCAGAGTTGTTTAGAAATGATGTTCAGGGTGACTTCAGGTGGTTGTGATGCCTAAATGAACATGCCAGGCTGCAGAGTGCACGTGTGTATGTGTACCCATGTGTGGCTGGTTCCTCAGCTATTGCTGGCTGTCCCCAAAGGAGAGCAGAAATGCATGTCATAAGCACCTCAATAAGATATTGCAGGTCAATTGCTGTTTTTTTTTCCTCATACATAAACCTTTTTTGATTAATTTTCTTCTTTTGGCATGTTTTACAGATAAGTAAGCAGCAGCTCCAGACAATCAAAGATCGTTTCCAGGCCTTTCTCAATGGAGAAACCCAGATTGTGGCCGATGAAGCATTTATAAATGCTGTCCAGAGCTACTACGAGGTAAGGAGAGACAATGCAATGCTCTTACGAATTCCTGTCCTCACCCCTATTCACAGATGGGGTTGAATTCTGAATTAACAGTTTGTCCATTATCACACAGTATGAAGCAAAGGCAAGTGCAAAGTGACTTCTGTCTGATGTCTGGTACATCATAGTGTTTGGGAGGTTCAGGATTTGAATGTAAGCCATGAAACAACCATAGCAACCCCTATGCCATGGTGTGTCCTTATAGCTTGATTATGGGGAAGACTGCCCTTCCTTTGAGCTGAAAAATAATTTCCTGGTACTTTTAAACGGTGTATTCTAAAACAGGGAAGATGGAAAAATCAGTAAAATCAATGTCATGTGCTCCCTGTGAAAAATACCAAGAGAAATCTGGGCAGCACATTCAGTTCTTGTGGGAGCTTTTGCATTGTGTCCAATTGACTTTTGGATTTTCAGCAACAGTCTTGTCTTTTCTCTTTGGCCTGAAAAGTGCTGCAAAGCAAAGGGGGAGTGATGATAAACCAGATGATACTGGAGAACATAAAACATTGTCCATAATTGTGGAAAAGAATAATTATGCATATCAGTCTTTTTGCACCTCTTTGTATGCAGCCCATAATGCTGCCTTTTATATCTCTGCTTAGAAGGGAAGAGTTTCTGGTTTAGAAGGAAATCAGTGCTTGTCATTTCTATGAGGAGTGTTGTTTATTTTTTTTACTAGCCTTTCTGCAAACGATTTCTCTTTCTCCCTAGAGCTGTTCTGTCATAGAAGGTGAAGATTTTGAATTGCCTACATAAAATATTTCTCTAGAAGTGCAATCTAAGAGGGGACCAAAATCAGACACTAAAACTGAAGAAAATTTTAACTCTATAGGATATGACAGCAGCTGCTTCTGTGTAAGGAAAGCACAAATTATCTCTGGTTTAACTCTGTTAAACCAGTCTAGTAGTTCCTGCTCCATTGTTCTCTGTACAGGAAAGAAGCCAACAGTCATTTGCATCTTTTATCAGAAAAGAAATTGCCAAGGAATCGTCACAGCTTCACTGAACAGGTGCTCTCAAAGAAAATTTTCAAATTGGAGTGAGCTGTGTTTTAGGATGCAAGAAGAGCATAATCTGTTTAGATAAAATTAGTGGGCAGGAAAAGAAAACTGCTTTAAACCAGGAAAAATACATCCCTGTTTCACTTCTGGGTCTGGGTGAGTGTGTCAGCTCCAGAAGTCCTGTGCTGTGTAAATGCCCCAAGTTAACAATCTGAAAAACAGCAGTAGATTAGCACTAGATGTACACAAACTCATGTCTTCAAGTGGACCCTCCACTGGCTCTGTCCTACTTAAAACAGGCCACATAAAGTGTAATGCATCAATCAGTGTCCTTTAGCACAACTTTATTTTTATTCTCCTTAGCTGTTGGTCTCCTTTAATTGATGGCCATGTGCTTTCAGCTTCTGTGCAGCTGAAGCTTGCCTCTGTGGCTCTTCCTCAGCATCAGCTGCAGTGGCACAAGAAAAAGCCTTGCCACAGAAAGCCTCTGCCCCTCAGTGCCTGAGCAGAGTTCCCTGCTGAGTGTTCTCCTATCTCTGCAGAGATGTGCCCCTCTTGGTTGATCCATTGGGCAAATCACAGCAGATCCTGCTTAGCTCATCTCCTGCAAATCTCAGTTTTATTCAATTAACTTGAACCCTTATGCTGGGTGCTATCTAGAAATCAGCCTTTACTGATTTATAAATCTGCAAGATGGCTTGGGAAACACACAGTTGTGCAGGACATGGCTGATGTTTCTAAAAGGTCCACTTATTAATGGTGCAGAATAAATTCATTATCTGGGAATGATTGGGTTTTTGCAGAGGGAAAAAGGTAAGGGTGACATTGTAGGTCAGAAATGCACTTGCTGTTGCCCTGAATGTGTTTGCACGGCCACATTTTGCTGTTAATTCTGGCTGTCAGGGTAAGCACGTGGTTGTCAGTCTTAGGCTAGTTCACAGGCTGCTATCAAATTAAAAAATTGAGTGATCTGCTGCTGCTCTGCAAAGCATCGCTGTGCCTGCAGGAATGCCGCAGACCCATGTGTGCAGACAGGCCCAGCATACTCCAACACACTGCAGGGGAGCTTTTCTCAGGTCCTTTGACTTCTAATGAGTAAAGCTTTGTCTGTCACTGGCACATTTTGCAGCAGTCACTTCAGTGCATATGATGGAAGTGCTCCATTAGCCCCATTTCCCCTTTGCTGTGGGCAGACAGAGGGCAGTGGCATGGTGGGCTCATCTGTGGGTGTGGCAGGAGATGCCTGACCCAGCTCCTGGAGGTCAGCTCCCTTCTGCAAGATTCGGTGTGTGCACCCATGCTAGGGTTTTGTTGTAGGCAGTTCTTGGCTCCTGGCAACCCTACTAAGCAGTCCTACAGCCATGCAATTCACCTGGTATTTTCTAAATAAAGCAGGACAGAACACCTTTTTTAAATCTTTTTTTTTTATCTTCCTATGTCATAGTTTCTGCTGCTTTGTGTCTGATGAGTGCTCCCCTGTGCCTGCCTCCTCCCTGCCAGCTGCAGCCTTCCTTTCCTCTGCTGGCTGCTGCTCCATACCCAGGGAGGAAAAATCAGGGCTGAGGGAATATGGGGAGCCAGATCCCACTGCTCACGATACTGGGGGTGAGGACCATGGCTAACAACAGCCACTGGGGCTGGCAGGTACGGGAGGTTCAGGTCTGGGCACCTGGCATGGATGAGGGGACATGAGAGCCCAGAATGTTGCAGTGGACTGGTCACTGTGACCTCCCACCATTTCCTGCAGTCAGTGATGATTTCCATGGCTGCATCAGGAACTTGGCTCTTGATAGCTCTCACCCATTATTTGACAGCATCTGCACACACCTGGGGCATTATCACTCATATTTAATCTCCATGAGGAAACAAAGCACATGCTGCTGTTGTTTCAGCATGGACTGAAGAGGTTGCTGGTGGCATTCTGCCTGTCATGTCTGCAGGAAGAGTGCTCCCGTGGTGATATTGGAAGGAAACAACTCAGCTCTTTCTCAGCATCATTTTTGGTCTGGTCCTTGGACAAAACCCAGTACTACTGCCAACAGATGCCTGTGCCATCAAGCATCTGGGAAGATGGAGTACTGTGTTGCTGAATGGTATATAAAAAAAAAATCCATCGTGGCCTTAGGTCATCCTTAAGCTCTTGAATTATTGAGAGCTGACAGATACACCCTTGTGAGGGCACAGCTTCTTCCCAAGCTGCTGTATTCATAGGTTCTCAGTATTATTAATAAAAAAACAGTTTTCTTATTGGATATTGTTTGCTCTTCTGTGTTCAGGGTTTGGGAGAGGAGAGTCAACACAATACCCCTCTGTCTCTCTAACCCTTGAGCTCTGTGTTGTTCCCAGGACATCTGTGGTCTGTGGGAGTTTGCCATGTTTGACCCTTCTGCTGCTCTTGCAGTGAGAAGAACATCTTATGAAATGTCTTCTCCTTCCCTTTCTTCTGCTGTCAGTGCCCTGCATCTCTGCAAAGGTTCAAGCCATGCTGAACCATCTTGCACTTCCCATTCCTGGGACAGCAGGGCAGACAGCAGGGATCTCATCTGGTGTAGTAGAATGAGGGTGTCAACCTGGTCCCTGCAGAGGTTTCCCAGGGGCCTGGCTACCAGAATAAATCCAGTGCAGTGCTGTTGGCTTCAATAAGATGACTCTGCTCCCTCTAACAGGGCAGAACTTGGTTAGGTGCACGTAGTTGTGCAGAAACTTCCTTATTAAAACATCAGATACAACAAAATAAAATCCTGCTTTCCCAAGGGACGTTTATGTATCTGGTGAGGTGTGACCATAACATCACATCAAGTCCTAACTGCATCAAAATATTGCATTTTAGTGGAGGCAAAGCAGAAGCTTCACCCGATTTCATTACGTTTCCCAAAGTACAGTTGAAACCCCTGGCAACATCTGGCAGTTGAGCAAGGAGTTGGAGAATGTCCTGGAAGTCAATAAGCAGCTTCCCAGCAGTGAAACCACCTTTTGTGGTACTTAAGGGGGATTTTTTTTTTAAGCTGGCACCATTTGAAATCATGCTTTTCTTTGCAGGTGTTCCTGAAAAGCGACCGCGTTGCCAGGATGGTGCAGAGCGGAGGGTGCTCAGCAAATGACTCCCGAGAGGTCTTCAAGAAGCACATTGAGAAGAGAGTGCGCAGCCTGCCAGAAATTGATGGCCTCAGCAAGGAGACAGTCCTGAGCTCTTGGATGGCAAAGTTCGATGCTATTTACCGTGGGGAGGAGGATCCCCGGAAGCAACAGGCCAGGATGACAGCGAGTGCTGCCTCAGAGCTCATTCTCAGCAAGGAGCAGCTCTATGAGATGTTCCAGAACATTTTAGGGATCAAGAAATTTGAGCATCAGCTTCTGTACAATGCATGTCAGGTAAGGTGGGAATGGAAGAGGGTTTTTTGGGGAAGGCTTGCCAATGGGAAATACTGTTGTTATGAACTGGAAACTTTCTGACCAGACACTTTTGGAAAGAACTTCTACCAAGAAATTGGGGTTGGTTTATGGTGGGACTTCAGCACTGCCAGTGTTGTTCTGGCTATCCAAGTTGGCCTCCTTCTCTTGCTCATTTTCATGCACAATTCCATAGGATTGCTGAGATGGGAATGTTTTATTCCTCAGCTCTGTATCTGGGTGAGCAGGTCTTTGAGGTGCTTAAGTGGGCTGTTTGCCTGTGGCTTGTTTGCCCATCCTGTGTCACACCACCAGTCTAAATGACAGAGAGCCTGTGATATCAGCAGCCAGATCCCAGGAGTGCCTGGGGTGGGTGGCTTATGCAGACTTGCCCAGTGACGTTAGACAGGTTCTCCTTAAGAAGAGGGTGCTCTGTGATCCCTTTATGCCTGTGGTGGAAGGAAAGAGCATCCCAAATCCCCATGACCTCAGGGTAGCTCTGCTTACACTTGAAAACCTTTCCCATTCATCTCTTTCTGCCCCAGAAGGGCCAGTTCTCCAGAGTTGCATGGCTGGGACTCTGCAGTGCTGCCTGTGTTTCCAGCAGCCCTTGCTGAGGGCTGGCCGTGGCTATCCAGACTGCTGGTGACCCAGATTATGGTCCCCTGCTGTTGGATATAAATATCACAGGCGGGATAAAGGATGCCAGAGTCACAGAGAGAGTAAGGTATGGAAAGTTTTTGGAGGAGGAGCAGACTTCAGTCTTTTCCCGGTAATTCAGGGCTTCAGCTTCTTATTGAAATGAATACATTTGAGACCAATTCTGTCTGTCTTCTGTCTAGACATTTCCAATTCTTTTTAAGACATGGAAAATTATGTTTGATCTGTTTTTACCCCTGTGAACAGATTAGTTATCTTGCATTTGTTCTTCTTCATCTCAGACCTTAATGGCAGAGTGGGCAGAGGATAATAAATGTCCCTGAGTAATGTGTCTTCATAGCAAAAACTGTAGTGGCCCTCATAAATTGTGTTTACACAGATTTTGTGCTTCCATCCTCTGTTGGAAGAATTCTTTATAATCAAAACTGTAATATTTTCAGTGGTGTGTTAAGAACTGAGTCATGTTTTGGTTTATTTTTTAACTTAAACCAACTCCAGCCCTGTGTCTCTCATCCTTCCTTAACCTGTGCTTTGATAAAGACCAGGGCAGCTCTGTGCGAGTGTGTGTGTGATCCTTCCCTCCTGGTTTGTGCTTCCCACTGATGCAGAAAACAGTGTTTGATCACAGCTGCCCTGATTTGTGATCTCTGCTTGTTAGAACTTTGCTGGCTGACACCATGAACCCAGAGGTTGCTCCCTGCAAATTGCCCTGTTGCATCAAGCAATCTTTTTCCTGCATGGGTCCTGGTTTTAATCTGAAAGCAGAGAACTTAATTCTGGGTCTTTTCTAATACTTGGAGGCAGTAAACCTGTAATTTAAGCTTTTACAGGAAGACATAATTTCTGATGAAAGTGAGAATTAGCATGGCAGTTACTGTTTGTAATACCTGGATAGTGAGGATTAGCTGTGCAGAAGGGAAAGCCCTTTATGCAGTGCACACCTCAGAAAGCTGCAAGGTCAGCAGTCACTGAGCAGCTGAGTGTTTTTGGGGGATGCAGTGGGAGTGGGATGCTGTGGGGTGGGACCCTGTACCAGGGGGAACTGGTCTCTTCCACTCCTTCTCCAGCTGCAGAAGAAAGGCAGCAGTGAGCACCCAGGGAAACCACAGGCTTTGCTCTGAGAACCATTTTTTGATGCTGCTTGTGGTCCTGTCATGTGGGCTACACCAGCAGGGCCTTTGGGGCTCTCTGGCCAGCAGCAGACATTCTGTACTTCCCTCTTGCTGTGGAAATTAGTGTTGACCATTACTCTTTCCCCAGGAGCACAGCCATTGCTTGCAGCCAGTCTGTGGGGCGTAGTCACGAGCTTCTCAGTGGTAATTTGGTATGGAATAAGCTACACTTTTTTGACCTGTGCTTGTCTGCCATGCATGGGAGGAATTGGGAAAAGCAGCCTTTTCCCTGGCAGGCTGTCTGAATGCCATCAGCCTCTCCAGAGTGGCAGCACTGTGCTGTTCATGCAGTTTATCAGTCAGTCACCTGTGATTAGAAAAGCAAAGCCTGTTTTCTTCTGTGGAGGGGCTGGCTGGGCTGTGCTCTGCCTTGCCTTGGTGTGCAGGGTGAAATTGCCTAGAGGCTGTGCAAGTAGGCAAGGGGTAACAAGGCTTTGCCAAGTTGTCCATTGAAAGCATGAACAGGAATGGTGCTGAGAGCCCCAAACACTGCTGGTTTGAAAGTAGATGCTTTTCTCTATGCAGCCTCCTGTTACATCACTCTAATTGCATAATGATTGCATCACTGGGACTGCATTTCCATTCACTTCTGAGATAACATTTTGTTTGTGCAGAAGGAGGATGATTTCTAAAGAGATTTTTTAATAAAGTATCCCCAGGTGGTATGAGATAAGTGTATTTTTAATGTGATAGCAGTGATTTAGCAGGATCTGAGATAGCAGTTACTGATAGCAAGGTATTAATGCAGCTGGAAAGGCTTTTAGGAAGCAAAGATGGGAAGGGGTGTTGTAGCAGCATAGTTGTGAAGATTTCAGTGTTGTTAAGCACAAGCTCTGACTAGAACATTTTAAATAATACACAGAGTCTTGTGCTTTTTGCATAACACATGCCACGTGGCTTGGTGTTTCTGCTCCAGTGGAGTCAGCATGGGAATTGAGCATCTCTGGCTCCAGCAGCGAGCTCCTCTGCTGTGTGAGAGGTGTGGTGGAGGGAGAAATGTGTTTCAGTCTGGGCTTTCTGGTTCAGAACCTGTTGGCAAAACCTAAATTTAGCTCTTCTGCTTTGTAATTAACCTGTGGCTGTGGAAGAGTACTAAAGAAGCTATTTTCTGTACGTATTGGGCAATTCCAAACTTGGGTTCTTGCTGCAGTTGGCATTTCCTAGGGTACTCTGTTTCCTGCTGACCTTCATGACGACTGAATTCAGAGCATCTCTGAAAATCAGGCTGTGGTGTTCTCCTGTCTCATTCTTTAAATCACAGCCGTAGGGCAGTGATTTACTTTTCTGTCTCAAGCTGTGTTTGGAAGTAATTTTTAGCTACAGTGAGAAGAGCCGGAGCTGGTACAGTGCTGTTCAGTTAATCCTGCAGCAGGAGCAGATGTTCAGATCGTGTCTGTGATGAGCTGTGCAGGTCCATCCTCCTGCTTTAGAGGAAGAGTGGGGTCTCCCTGCAAAACTGTCTGAACTCTCAGGATTCACAGTCAGACTTTCTCTTCTTTCCCAGGCCTGAAGTGTCCCATATACTGTGGCAAAATAACCTGTGCTAAGCATAATGCCCTTAGATGTGAGATTTGAAAGCAAATAACTAAATATAGGCATGTGCAACCTGCTGAGTGATGCTAATACATGGTCATGGTTTTTCAGCATCTATTTCTGTCCATCCATGTAGAAGACAAAACATCAGAGAAGTATGCATGTGTGGGTGGACTGCAACACACACCAGGTCTCATTGCTGTCTGGTGGCTATTTCATGTAAAGGCATAAAGACTTCTCACCAGTGGAATTGTTTCATAAGTTTTGGGGCCCTGGGATTTTAACTAGGAAACATTTCAACCCAAATTTTCTCAAACAGAGATGACTTAAAACTAGAATTCACTGTTTTGACATTTATTTTCGCAGCTGAATTAGGACACTATGTCCAAAGGCTGACATTTCTCACATAGCAGAAAGTTCCCCTGCCAAAAAAACCTGACTGATTTTAGCTCAAGTCAGTATTAGAAATGATTTGCTGAGGTGGTATCTTGCCTTCTGCCCCTCTCTCATCTCTGCAATTCGTGTGGTTCTACCAAACTTGGTTTCTTCACTTGCTTTGGTGTGTTGAGCCCTTCACGTGCCCATTACACGCCCAACGTGTGTCAATCATGTGCCTGGCACATGGTCACACTGCCATCATGTACCCAGTGTGTGCCAAACACGTGGCATGAGCTGCCTTTGCTGACTTAGCTGAAAGTTGGAGAAATCTCCTTAAAAATATTTCCTAAATCCTTTCTGTTTGCAGAGAAGCTGTAGTGGTACTTGGAAGCTGCAGCCCAAGTAGGGGCAGAAACTCATGTGGGGCACTGTGACAGCTCAGGTAGTGAGATGAAGGCTAAGGTCACCTCAGAATAAATGTTTGATTTGTGTGTATACTCTCCAGACCAAGTATTTCACTTAGTTTGTTGTGATGGAGAATTCCCAGCCATGCCTTGCAATAGGCATTGAGTCCAGGACTGTTGTGCACAGCGTGGAGTTACCTGTCTGTACACATCTCTGTCCCTTCAGTCCAGGGCCTCAGAGGTTTAGGATCAGATCCCTCCATTCTGCTCCCTGTTTGAAGAACACAAAGCAATTCCTTTTTATTCTGGCTTCATCTTGAAGCTCAATGTCTATGAAATATGTATCTGCAATTCTGAGCATCTAAGCACTAACTGTGGCTGTAATGCCCCTCTGAAAGGGAGGGAGGTTTGCTGGGACCCCAGAGCCCCCTACAAACTGCCTGTCCTTGGGATGGTGGTGATGAGCTGGGACTGCTGCAGTGAGCCTCCATGGGCTCTTCTCTCCAAGGCTGGATGCATGTGCCATGGATAACCAGCAGCTTTGGCCAGCACTGCTCTCCCCCTTGCAAATCACCTGGGCATCAGCCTTACCCTATGGCTTTTTTTTCCCCTCTTTCACTATTTAAAACTCCTTTTGATTGCTCCACCTATTTTCACACCGTGAGCATCATCCCCATTCCGCCTTCTCCCCCCCCATTTAAAACAAAGCCATGACCAATAAAAATGGGTTAAAGTGGTTTAGAGATGATCAAAAGCCTCAAAATCCATAAAGCATCACGGGCTGTTTTCAGTAATTCTGTATTTATTTCCATGGAAACGGAAATGGCAGCCTGGA